CAGAATAAGAGAATAATGGAATTGGAAGGAACCTATAAGGCCAACCCCCTGCCGAATGCAAGAACTCGAGTTAAAATATATCTGACAGATCATTACCATCATCTTACAATTGCAGAGTTGGAAGAGCCCCTATGGACCATCAAGTTCAGCTCCTGTCAACCAGGCACAAGTGGGGAATCATATTCTCAACTTCTGGCTCCACAGCCAGAGACCTAAACCACTGAGCTATGGTTGTATAACTTTTTCTTGAATTCCTCCAATGTTGAAACACTCACCACCTCCAAAGATAATGGGTTCCATCATTGTACTGCTTTAACAAAGTTTTTTTCTTATATTCAACTGAAATTCTGGCTTTCTGTAACTTGGAGTGTGAGTCCTGCACTCTGGAAATATTCAGGACAGATCCTGGCCTTCCTCTGTATGATAACCTGTAAAGAACATGAAAAGTGGCATCTAATCTCCCCTCAGTCTTCTTTTCTCAAGGCAAAACATGCCCAGTTCTTTCAGTCTTTCCTCCTAGGGCTTGCTTTTCAGCCTCCTGATCATCCTTGTTGCCCTCCTCTGAACTTGTTCTGTTTCTCAGCATCCTTCTCAAAGTTTGATCTTCAGAACAGGACATTGTACTCTAAATGAGGTTGAGCCACATGATGTGGGGACCTTTTTTTGCAGCAGCATCACATTGTTGACTCATATTTAGCTTGTGATCTACAAGAATTCCAAGATCCTTCTCACATCCAGTATTGCTGAACCATGTATCTCCCATCTTGTAACTGTGCATTTGGTTCTTCTTCCTAGGTTTTGAACTTCGCAGAAATCCCTGTTAAAACTTCATTCTGTCATTTCAGCCCTGTGCTTGAGCCTATCAAGAAGTTTTTGAATTTTGTTCCTGTCTTCCAGGGCATTAGCATCCAAGTTGTTAGCTAAAAATTTTAAGAGAATCAGGGTTTGGACTGAATCTTGCAATATCCCACTTGTTACCTCTTTCTCCTTTAAGAAGGGGCCATGGATAAGCACTCTCTGAGTACAATTCTCTAACTAATCGTGCATCCACCTGATAGTTCCTCTATCCAGTACCACACCAAGTTAGCTTGCTAATCACAATATCATGGGCCACTTTGTCAAAACCTTAGGTGAAGTCTAAGATATATTATATCTACAGCATTCCAGCCATCTTCCAGGGAGGTTAATCTATCAAAACATGAGATAAGATTAGTCTGGCAAATATTGTTCTTGACCATCCATGGTGGCTTCAAGTTACCACCAACGTACCCTCTAATTTTCAGCCCCACTGTACCCTCTGCCTCTCGTGCGTGCGACCGCCGTGTGTGCACACACAACTCCACACACACCCCTGCACGCGCAGGGTTCCGTTGTGACTGGAACCTAACATGATCACTGTGTGGAGGAGAATGAAGAGAGCCACACACACAAGGAGGCAGAGGCATGCAGACCAAGCCTAGAGGGAGCCTTAATTATCACTGCATTGTTTTCAATGCTCCAGAATTTTCCCTGGGATTGATGTCAAAGTGACTGGTCCGCATTTCCCAGGTTGCTCCTTTTTTGAAGGCAGGGACAACACTGGCCCTCCTCCAGTCATCTGGCACGTCACCCATTCTCCATGATTTCAAGAAAACAACAGTGGTTCTCCAGAGTTCTTTGGCCAAATTACTTCAATATTCTTGGCTGCAGTTCACTGGGCTTTGGAGATTTGAACAAATCCGAAGCGCTCAGCTTTTCCATGACTATTTGTTTATCAGTCTCAAGCAGCGATCCTCGTTTTGCTTGGTCCAACCTCTTTTAAACCAACCCTTCTGTGTACACATGATCTGGCTCCATAAAAAGAGTACCCAGGCCACGGGACCACAAAGAATCAGATGAGCATGGAACAGCGTTGGGCTGGTTTGTGACTTCCTGTATGTCATGAAGTCACCAAAACAAAATAACCCAAACCAGACCACCGTCTTGCACCCACAGTCGCAAGGAGAGCCCAAAAATGCAAGCTGCGCTACGAATCCACAGCAACAAACCAGTTTTGATGGTCTTCTTCACCACCACCAGATATTTTGGAAGCTAGTTATTACCCAGTTACGGTCCCTATAAGCCAGTTCCTAGGATACCTAGTGTAGCATAGTGGATAGATTGATGGCCTTGGACCCAGGGGTGCTGGGATCGAATCCTTGCCCAGTCATGGAAACTCATGAGGGGAGAGGTGGAACTGGTAAAACCATGCCTTAGATTTCTATGAAAGCCCTCTTAGAGTTGCTATAAGTCAGTTCTGACTTGACAACACCTCACCTCACAACAAACAACAAACAACAACAAACAACAACAATGGATCCTAATTGGCCAACGAAAACCAAACTCACCCAACCCTCCAAACCCTTTTGCCTTACAACAAAGATAGCTTATGACCATACAATTGCTGTCACTAAGAGGATTGTCACAAAGTGCCTCCATGACAACAGAAGCACGAAACACTGTACTTGAAGTCCAGCCTTCACGATGTGTAACAAAAAGTAAGGTTCCCATTGCTTTTAGTGGAACTTCCAAAAATATGTGCTTGGAATTATAGGCTTAATTTCTTAGAATAGGCATGCACATTGATTTCCATTCTTGGAAGGTGTCAGGTATAATTTTAGAAAGAAAGCACTCCAGACCGTAACAGGGGTTTCCCCCCATCCATGCACCCATCAGTCGCAAACTTTACTGTGTCCTTTAGAAATATTTAAAACTGTAAAGATTTTGGTCATTATTCCCTTGAGCTTTTACTAAGCGGACAGTCATGAGAGCACAGTAATACAGGATCATACCCAGCTTTTCCATTACAAAACCGTGCTCAAGGCAGGTTATGATTGTTCCTCTTCCTTCTGAACTTATCTGCAATTCTCCCAGTAACTGGGACATAAATGGATCTTCCCAGAGACAGTGCATTGTTGCCAGCTATTCTTGCTGTAATGCAACGTATTTGACGGTGGCTTGGTCTTGAATGGGCAGTCCATGGTATTGAACCTTACAAAAGACCAACTCCTCAATTGTTGGCAAAGAGCTGCACCCTGTATCTATCCTTATGGGCAGATGTCTACGAGATTGCACCTATACTATAGCATTAGTGATCATACCATTCGCAAAATTGTGCTATTGTGTGTGTGTGGGGGTTCTTCATGAAGATCATACCTTGCTTGAACAGCAGTGCTGTCATGAGCACCTGGCACCTGTGTTACTATGCAGAGGAGACTGTCTGCTTGGCAGAACCTCAGTGGGATAATGGTCTTCATCTACACTTCAGTGGACACTTTATAGATGGGGCAGCAATTTTTGGATTTCGTGCAGAATGTGTCACACAATCGCTGCCAGTCACAAACTTCCGGTACCTCCATTCTGTGGGGTACTGCTAGGGGCTCAAAAGCAGATCTGGCTGAGCTCTCCCTCCCCACAGGGCAACCATTTCTCCATATACTGGGAGAGGCACTTACCTCTGAACTGGGCTCCTCAAGTTGAGCTGGTTGCCCGCCGAGTTTCAGCCATTTGCTTATTGAATAGTTGTTCCCAAATCTCACTCTCTCCCTGAAAACAGCAAGAGCAGTGGTTTGGAATAATCTCATCCCTCTGCCATCTGTGGGTGACTTGTGGCCAAAGCAATTGGTTCCCTATAAAGCAGAAGTGCCAACTTTTTTTCCTGACAGTACTCCTGTTCTTTTAACCGTCCTACAACAAGCCAGTGTGTGTGTGTGTGTGTGTGTGTGTTGTGAATCACCTATAAAGTGTTTTTTCTCCTCAACATGCCAAATACTATTATTTTGAAATTTACACCGGAAGTGCTTTTCGCAAAACTACTACTCCATTAGTGCAAGAGGTGCATGAAAAGGAAAGTTGGCCACCCTTTCTTTGGGCCTTCTTCTCTCCTACCCACATGCATACTCACTTGACCGGCCCATGGCTTCCTTCTCCTGCAAACAGAATGAGGAAAGATGAAGAAAACACTGGCATCAATACAAAACAGAATGAAGACGTTCAGCAGATTTTTTTTTTAAAACCAACATTTGCAGTTGCTTCCATGAGGGATCTGAATTTTACAGTCTGTTATTCTCACAAGAAAGCAAGAAATAAAAACACTCTTAAGGCTTAACACCAAAATTTCTCTGCGCAAGTTTCCCCTCAGAAGACTTGCAGGAAATCTTATGGGATTTCTCAGATTTTTTTCGTGATCTGCAATATTATTTTGGCACAATTAGCGAGGGAAACTGAATAAATTCACCACCACCACCACCACCTCTAATCCAGATTTTGTTAAATTTAAAGTAGACATATTGAAACGAGTGGTACTTGTATCAACTGCGATCCATCCCTTTGACCGGAAGAAGAATTTGCTGCCAGGATTCCCCCTTTTTTCAGTACCCCAATCACTGAAGGAAGCAAAGAAGCTGACACCCAACGACCCGTTTAAATATGAGGGTTTTTTCCCCACATCTTTACCTTTGAGGGCCCGAGTCTTTGGCCGACAGAGCCAGCAGCCCAAAAGGAAGAGGTTGGAAACTACCAGAAGTCCCCCAAGGGTGCCAAGGAGACCAATAAAAGGAAGTGGCATCGTGGGGCTCTCTGAGGAATAAGGAAGAAAGAGTGACAGCAGTAAGAATATAAGGACAGCCATGCCGGAGGAGAACTCATGGGCTGCCTAGTTCATTTTGTTTACACATTGGTTAACCACTTGCTTATGGTTAGCTTGAATGATGGCTATGAGCATAACTGCATGCTTCATCTTGCAAGCTCTCCAAATGATATATAGGGACATATTGCCTCTGAGGATGGCTGTATAGCTCAGAGGTTTAGGTTTCTGGCTCCAGAGACAGCAGTTGGGAGTTTGATTCCCCCCACTGGGCCTCCTGTCAGTAGAGCCAGCCTGTGTGGCCTTGGGCAAGCTGTGTCGTCCCAGGATTGCTCCCCCCCCCCAGAAGAAGGGAAGTCCTCATCTCTCCATCTTATGGCTGTGAATTCCTAAAAGGCAAGGTCTGAGAGATCAATGTTTATTTCCTGTAGACAATCTTCTCTTTGTTTCAGAGCTTGGTGCTGGGGTGGGTGGGGTGGGGATTACCTTTTAGACTGCGATTCCCAGAATCCCCCAGCACCATGTAAACATAGGTTGGCTGGGGATTCTGGACTATGCACTACCAGGCCAGTTTTAAGCTCTGCTTTTACTACAGCCTATGTGAAGGCTTCAGAATTACCCTGCCATTTAGAATTTCCCACCCATCTTCTACAAATTCATAACTTTGCTTCTGTGCAGGGCAGATGAAAATGAAGCAGTTTTGCTCCAAATGGGCTCTGGAGTTGCTTTTTTGTCTCTTTAAAAAGAAAAAGAAAAAAATCCAGCAATTGCAAGTCTGAAGTTGACAGAAAAAGAGAGGGATATAGAGATGGCAGAGATTATGGATAGCATCCATCATTTACTACAGACTGGCTGGACAACTCAGTGGTTAAGTTATACAGCTGCAGATCTAGAGGTTGGAAGTTCAGTTCCCACTGTGTATTCCAGAACAGCCAGCCTGTGTAGCCTTGGGCAAGCTGCAGAGTCCCAGGGTGACCCCCCCCCAGAAGAAGGGAATGGCAAACCAATTCTGAATACTCTGTACCTAGAAAATGCTAAAAAGGGTTACCGTAAGTCGGAATTGACTTGAAAGCACATTATTATTATTATTATTTTATTTACTACCCACAGGTTTTAACATTTTTTGTACCTGGTTCAGGTGTGGGTGGAATCTCTGGCTCACCATCACCCGGCTTTTTCTCTCTCTCTGGAAAGGAACACATGGAATAAAGACTGAATCGCATCTAAATTCTCATAGTATCAGCACTGAATGCAAGAATATCATGCCCATCAATGTGACATTATAGGCTGGATCACAACAGTTAAGCAGATCTCATTTTATTTCCAGGGAAAAGAAACAGAAACCCCAGGAATCTGTCAGTTTTACTTAAGCAGTGCAGAAACATGTATCAACCTATTCTTGAAGCTATATTATCCTTCCACTCAACAGTACACGTAGCATAGCAGTCTATCAACTAGCTGGGTGGTTTTTTCCATATTACCTAATATCACTATATTTTTATCCATCCCTTCCCCTAAACAAAGAATGATTGTATAGATGCCCTGGCACCACCACCAAATTATCCTCACAGGAAGCAAGCTGGACAGAGCAACTGATCCAGAGTGACTCAGAGAAAAACATGGCCGAGCAAAGATATGAACCTACGTCTCTGTGCTCCAAGTTCTGAGAGACACCAGTGTTCCCAGCCTTGGGTCCCCCAGATGTTCTACAACTCCCAGATATCCTGGCCAGCACAGCTACTGGTGAAGGCTTCAGGGAGTTTTAGTCCATGTGGGGACGCAAGGTTGGAAACCACCGCACCTACGCCATATTGCCTCTGGTTTTTGAAAGTAGAGGCATGCCCTCGTTCTCCTGTGCTCCCTTTCCACTCTCTGCAAGTGAGATGCTCCTAACCTGCTGTGGTGACGCTGAGCCCTGCCCCACCATCAGCAAAGTCGCTTTCGCCAAGAGCATTCCGGGCATTGACAGAAACATTGTAGGTGGTCTCTGGCTGCAGGCCTGTCAAGGTGAATGCGGAGGACTGTGGTGGGAAAACATCGGCATAGAGAAAGCTGGGGATGTCTGGCCAGTGGTACCTGGAGAGAGACAAGCGAAGAGGGGATATTTCAGGTTCTCAGGTTGGTCTAAAATTCAAGGTTGACAATGGAGAAATTGAAATGGTCAAAGATGCTGTTATACCTTGTCTCAGTCATCAGTCCAAATGGGGACTGCAGAAATAAGATTATGAGACTCAGAAGGGCAGCTATGAAGGAACTAGAAAAGATTCTCAAGTGTAAGGGTATGTCATTAGAGACCAAGGCCGAGATCATGCACACTATCACATTCCTAATTACTATGTATACAGATGTAGAAGCTAGACAGTGGAGAAAGCCAACATGGAAATGATTGATTCATTTGGAATATGGTGCTGGAGGAGAGCTTTGGAGATACCATGAACCTTCAGAAAGACAAACAAGCAGATCCTCAATCAAATCAAGCATGAAATCTCTCTAGCAGCAAAAATGGAAGAAAGGATGTTGTTCTATGCTGGGTATATGAGTATAAGGCAAGGCTCACTGGAAAAGACAATAATGCTAGGAAAAGTCAAAGGTAGCAGGAAAAGAGGAAGACAAAATATGAGATGGCTTGATTCAATAAAAGCAACATGGTGTTGAATTTGCAACTGCTGAGCAGGCTGTTGATGACAGGACATTTTGGTTACTCATTCATAGTATTGCCAAAAGTTGGAGGTGACTAGACTGCACCCAACAATATACAGTAGGTAGGCTGGTGCAGGTCTTTCCTTGTAACTCCTACCTGACACGAAAACTTTGTGGAAGACCTCCATCAAACCCGGGGGTCCACTCCAAAGCCAACCTGCTGTCGGCCACAGCAGCAACCTTTAGCCCCGTTGGTGGGTCCGGACGGCCTGGTGAGAAAAAAAGGAAGTCACAGCAACCACTCAGGAAGCAAAAAAGTGATGTTTTACACTCAAGCCGAATTGCTATATGCATTGAACTGTAAAAGTCCAAGTCTCAGCGACTCTTTAGCCCTTACTGGTACTTTGCAGCTGGATGTCAAGGGTATCTGTGCCCAGTTCATTGGTGGCCGTGCAGGTGAAGATGGCATAGTCGTGAACAGCGCTCACGTTGGCAATTGTCAAGGTGCTGATGTGCAAGGAACCTTCGTGATCTGTGACCACGGTATACCTGGGACGGAATAATTGTAATGTCAAAAGAGTCAGAGTCAAACAATGCATTAGAAGAAATATGAATGACCTGTTAGTAGCCAACTTTTTCCTCCCACAGAATGATGATGACTATGGGACTATGAGTCTGATCAGACATGTAAATGAAGTCTGCACTTTCCATCCACTGACCAGTGGCAAAATAAACCTTGCTGGAATGCAAAATCTGGAACTGAGTGAAAACTCAGTCTGAGAAACAGGTATTTTTTTAGCACTGAAAGAATCTCTATTTCTAATATTATTTCTAATTACAGTGGACCCTCTACTTACGGAATTAATCCGTATTGGAACGGTGGCCTTTTAGCACTGAAAGAATCTCTATTCCTAATATTATCTCTAATTACTATTGTTATGTGTCATCAAGTCCCTTCCAGATACTAGCAACATCATGACTTTGTGACCTCCAAAATGTCCTATCATTAATAGAACCGCTTAGGTCTTGCAAAGTCAAGGCTATGGTTTTCTTTATTGAGTCACTTCCTCTCTTGCTTGGTCTTCTCCATTTTGGTTTTTTTCTGGTCTGTAAGTCGATTCTCTGGCTGCAAGTCGAATCTAAATTTTGCAGCCAGAGAAGTCTGTAACTTGAAAAGTCTGTAAGTCGAGCCGTCTGTAAGTCGAGGGTCCACTGTACTATTGTTATGTGTCATCAAGTCACTTCCAGATACTAGCAACATCATGACTTCGTGACCTCCAAAATGTCCTATCATTAATAGAACCGCTTAGGTCTTGCAAAGTCAAGGCTATGGTTTTCTTTATTGAGTCACTTCCTCTCTTGCTTGGTCTTCCTCTTTTCCTGCTGCCTCCATCTTTTCCCAGCATTGTGGTCTCATCTTGCCCCATTGTCTGCTGTTGCCCCCAAGGCACATTGCTCTTTATAGCGTCTTTTTTGACACTCAGTGAGAGGAGAGACATAGCTAGAAAGGAAGAAGGCTAGTTTCTAGATTTTTAATCATTCAGGATCTAAAAAGAAATAATCATACATTTTTAGTTATCTAGAAAATGAGGTGTAGGGCTTTTTTAATGCAACCCACAGAATACTCCATCTAGTTGGGTCAATAGACAACAACAACCATAACAGTAATAATGTGCTATCCGGACAATTCTGACTTATGGCGGCCCTTTTCAGGGTTTTCTAGATACAAAGTACTCAAAGTACTACATGGCCTGGGATACACAGTAGGGAATTGAACTCTCTACGTCCGACCGGACCCAACTCACCGAGCTATCTAGCCAGCTAGCTGATAATAAACAGCATATGTAACTAAGCAGCAAACAGAATAAAATGTGCCTTGGGGGTTAAGACAGTGTGCATTGCTGAAATTAAACTGTTTCGATTTTTAAAAAAAACACCAAGGTTACAGTTAAATGTTCTGGTTATTTTTGTTTCCTACATGCTTCATCCTATTTATGGATCATAGCTGACATTTTGTTGGATGAAATGAGATGCATTAAATTGCTCCGTCTACATTCTCCTTTGCAAATGAAAGCTAGGAATGCAAATCGTGTTTTCTCTCCATCCAAATTCAGCTCATTCCAGATGTTTGCCAGATGGTTCTCCTGAACCTTTATTGACTTAGGTTTGACCACAAGTGAGTGTACTGGTCAGAAACTGTGACCAAATCAGAGCTAAACGGAATGTTTTAAACAATTCACTCCCAGGACTGGAATTTATTTCCCTAAAAATAAATATAAATAAGGATGTAGAAACAGGGTTCGACCTTTGCAAGTGCTCAGTGAAAGTTTCTGAAAAACACGACTCAAAAGACCATCAGAGATTGGAAAAGTTACTTTTTGGACTACAACCTAGAACATCTCAGAGGATATTTTGAAGTGCCTCCATCTGCTAATTGTCTCTGTCTTTGCCCCCCAGCAAAAAAAAATTACCTTGGGGACAGAAAAAGGGGAATGGAATGGAAGTTTACGGCATTGCATAAGGCAAATAATACTTTTACATTTTAAAGATATCAAGGATAGTATTACTATGTCATTATTATCGCTATCAATGGCAAGGGTTGCATCATACGTTTATTGGACCACCAAAATGTCATTAAAAAGTGAGCAGTCAAGTTTTTCAGAGTTTTTCATCAGGTCAGGTGTGAGAAAACAGCCCGCTGAAGAATTCTGAAGATTCAGAAGCTTGCTTTTTTAATGATATTTTGGTAGGCCAATTTGTTTGTTTGTTTGTTCAGTCGTTTAGTCGTGTCCGACTCTTCGTGACCCCATGGACCAGAGCACGCCAGGCCCTCCTATCTTCCACCGCCTCCCGGAGTTGTGTCAAATTCATGTTGGTTGCTTCGATGACACTGTCCAACCATCTCATCCTCGGTCGTCCCCTTCTCCTCTTGCCTTCACACTTTCCCAACATCAAAGTCTTTTCCAAGGAGTCTTCTCTTCTCATGAGATGGCCAAAGTACTGGAGCCTCAGCTTCAGGATCTGTCCTTCCAATGAGCACGGTTCGACCTTTGCAAGTGCTCAGTGAAAGTTTCTGAAAAACACGACTCAAAAGACCATCAGAGATTGGAAAAGTTACTTTTTGGACTACAACCTAGAATATCTCAGGGGATATTTTGAAGTGCCTCCATCTGCTAATTGTCTCTGTCTTTGCCCCCCAGCAAAAAAAAATTACCTTGGGGACAGAAAAAGGGGAATGGAATGGAAGTTTACGGCATTGCATAAGGCAAATAATACTTTTACATTTTAAAGATATCAAGGATAGTATTACTATATCATCATCATCGCTATCAATGGCAAGGGTTGCATCATACGTTTATTGGACCACCAAAATGTCATTAAAAAGTGAGCAGTCAAGTTTTTCAG